CAGTGAGACTCAGTACTCCATTCATTACATCATGAAATACAAATACTTCTTAAGTACAGTCCTTTGATTTGAATGATTCTGTCCTGCTGGAGTGTGACATGATTTGTTTGTGTACAAACTAATACACTATCAGAGTTTTATATATTTATACTTCTCATTCAACCACAGTTAAATTCACTCTATCTAGGAGGCTCAGTTTATATGGATAGTTTTTATTTTTTATTATAACAAGCTGCAATGAAAACAAGCAGAAATGTAAGAAGTAAAAAGTAGGCTGTAAAATAATTACTCAAGTAAATACAGATATCCAAAAATTCTACTTCAGTACAGTAAAGAAGTATTTGTACTTAGTTAGTTTACAGCTGTGTTAAAGAAGCAGCACAGCTCTGACTTCTCTTTTCTCCACCTCAGTCAGTTTTGTCCCTGAAGGCTTCCGTAGTTTCAGTCACGTGATGCTTTGTTTTGCTCGTGACGGCTAGCTCTTCCTGTTTTAGCTCTGTTTTCTGAACATGTCGCTGAATTAAAGGAGTTTTAATGTGAATGGGTTTGTTTTGAAGACACCTGTGAAGCAGACTGAAGTCACAGACAGGTTGTGTGTTTGTGTTCCTCTCGGTCGGTGAAACGTGTTTCTTCTCCACCTGCTGCAGCGTCCATCGTTCATTAGGTAACTCATGTTTATTTAATTGTTTTTCTTCTCAGGTTGGTTGGAAAAACACAGAATCATGCTTCGGTGGATTTTTGGTGGTCGTGAGGATCAGAGCTGTCTGGAGGTAAAAACTGTTTGTTTATAGAAAACACATATTTTGTCTTTTATGGATTAAATTAAACTTTAATTAAAAAAAACCTACAAGTCATGATAGTTTTGAGAAACTAACTCTCCCATAATCCTCACAGCTTATAGTCTTCAGACCTGAACTAAACCTGACTCTTGAACTGAACCCTTTCATGCAGGAACAATGATAAACTCATCTTTACAGGTGTAAAACAAGCTTAGAAAGTTTATTCTTTATTTTTTAAAGAAATAATTTTATGTACACTCACATGTACTTCATGTGTTTTGTACTGCAAAATACCATAAATGTAAAAACATGGTAATTATACAGGTATAGTAGTAATTTAGTTATACAGTTGTAATGTGTTATTCCTCCACTCCTCTGTATCCTCTCTATTTCAGCTCTATTGATAAATGTAAAAGTTAACATAAACATAAAATTATGTTTTCACTAGGTGTTTTTATTCATCTTTATGGATGTAAAACAAGGTTAAAAATAAAGATATATTGTCTTTGAACTGAGGATAGTGTGACACAAGTCAGTCTGAACTAGGGCTGCACAATATATTTAAAATGTATCGTCATCACAATAACTGCTTGTGTAATATGCATATTACAACAAATGCATAAACTGTTTGCATTTATGAGTTTTGTCACTCAGACAGAAGCTTGAAGTATTTCACCAGTCAAATGGAGCCCTTCATATATTACTCTTCATGTTTTTAATAATTCATACCAGAATGAAAATGATTAGTTTTGTTTCTTTGTTTTTTTGCTCAGAACCCAGAAAACATCAACACTACATACTTATTGTTCATTTATCATAAGTCACAACATTAATCTGTTCTCACACATCACAGGTTTGTCTGATATCGTGCAGCTCTACTCTGAACTGTAGATCCTCATATAATCTTAACTGTAACTGATTTTATCAGAATATATTCTGGTTAAATCTCTGAACTGAGCATATTCTCTCATAGCAACCTCTCTTATAGCATGTATATATTTTTTGGCCAGACAGTGTATAAAGATTATATTAAAAAACAAATTATATTATAATACTATAAAGTTGATTTACAACAAAACTGTATAAGATATGAATTATTTTCAAGTACAACATTGGTAATAACTCACATTGGTAATAACTGACATTGGTAATAACTCACATTGGTAATAACTGACATTGGTAATAACTCACATTGGTAATAACTGACATTGGTAATAACACACATTGGTAATAACTCACATTGGTAATAACACACATTGGTAATAACTCACATTGGTAATAACACACATTGGTAATAACTGACATTGGTAATAACTGACATTGCATTGAAGTTAAAACATAGTCAGTGATTCATGATGTACAATTTAGTGGACATGTGTTTAATCTGTATTTTCTACAAATATAAACTCAAAACTTGGAAAATCTTTACATAATATGTCACCTTATATGTTACTTGATGTAATCATATTTTTTTACCTGCATTGTTTTATGGAAGGTAGAAACTGAAATAGCCGAGGTGTTTGGTTGTTCTCCCCATCTGTCAGCCATCTTGGTTTCACTGAATATTTTTTCCCATTGCCATGACCAGCTAATAGGATGTTTTTGTATGGGATGATGTAATAGCTTCCACTAGAGTGGATTATATGCAACACTGCCCAAAATTGCAGGCATATATATATATTGTGCTGCCGCAGTTTAGCTTAAAGTTTAGTTAAAAATAAAAGCACAGGTTATGTTTTCGTCTTTTCCTTTGTTTTAAACTAAACTTCAAACTTTTAGCTAAACTGAGGCACAAGCATGCAACACTTGAAATAAAAAGACTTGTTGGACAAAATTATAAAAATAATTAAGTATAAACATTTAAGACACACAAATGCATGTACAAGTAAAAGGAAAAACAATATACATTTAAAAAACTAAATTATGTGTTCAAATATATAGACTAACTTATTGGAACTAAGCTGGGAAAATAAATATGAAAGTCAATTAAAATATAAAACAGGAGATAAAGTTCTCCTTTTTTAATTTAATTGGTGCATTTTAAGTGTGTTTATTTAGTGGTTCATGTAATTCTGCTTTTATTTCTAATGATGTCAGTGTTAGTCCTCCGTACTGCAGAAGCCTGATAATCATCACATCAGGTGTGTTGGAGCAGAGGAACAGGTAAAACATGCAGGGCTGCGGCCCCCCAGGACCAGGACTGACCATGTCTGTCCCTGTTCAGGTGTCTCCAGCTGGGTCCTGATTCAGATTCACCCTCTCCACCTTTTGTTTTGCCACACTCTGCTCCCTCTCGTGTCTGCAGAAAAGCCCCGTGTTGTGCATCGGAGAGGAACAGCCCAAAAACTGCTTCACTGAGCTGCAGGTGCTGAAAGGACATTTTGACATTGTTCGATTTCTGGTGCAGATTGATGACTTCAGGTAGGTAGACCTCCCCCTCCCCCATTTCTGTAACCTCTCTCCTCTCTACCCTCGGCTGGCCTCCATCCCTCTGTGACTGACAGGAGATCCTCACCTACAGCAAACTTACAGAGCATGACAAGAGCCCAATCATCAGCAGCATGTGATTGTGTACTCAGAGTCTGGTGAAACTAAAGCCTCCTAATGCTGTCCACACATATAGAAAGGTTCTGCACCTGCTGTCCTCTTTCAGCTGCTGCTACACTCGGGCATGCTACAGTGGCTCAGCATCAGCACTCCGACTGAATTTACAAGTGTGTGTGTGTGTGTGTGTGTGTGTGTGTGTGTGTGTGTGTGTGTGTGTGTGTGTG